CTTTTTTTACACTGTCCGGTCATTTAGGAGGGGTTTTTTCAATATGCGATGATACCCAGAAACAAAAAAATTATCAATGACCAAAAAAGTGAAGAGCTGTAAATTGCTAGGACCAAAAGTACTAACAGATACAGTTGAAAAAGTGGTACTAAAGAGTACCAACGACAAAACAGTAAAAACGATACTTTAGTCGAATACTTTAACTGAAATAAATTCAATTAAAGTGAAAAACAGTAGTCTTGATACGTAATAAACGATCAAAACAATGAAATTTACTCAGCAAGGAAAAATACCACTGTCCATTTTAAATAGCCGCGCACTTTTGTGATTTACTTTATTAGATAGGACGGATTAGAGAAGTAAATGGGGCGATTCATGGCGTGCAAGCTCACTATCTTACGCTAGTCATTCTTAGCATTGACAATTTCAACAAACTATTCGAAGTTCAGTGATCAGATTTAGAAATGGTTCAGATTGATGGATGATTTGGCCAGGACTCAGAGAGGTCTCACTAGGCCTACAAACTCTTCTATAAGCTTCCGTTTTTTATTCAGTTCACAGTCAAAAAATCTAATCATAACGATGACAAATGGTTTGTCAATACCTAAGTACTGGCCAAGGAATAGATATGTAAGCGTCTGAAATACACAAAGCATCTCAATACTGTCGTATCAGAAATATGCATCTGACTAGTCCCGACAAACTTGTGACATCCAAACCTATCGTACACCATCAGTTGCCACAACTCAAAATTAATAATATCCTTATGGGAACTGCAGTTCCAAGAAAAGCAGAGAATATTCCGCCTGCAAGAAACCAAGAAGACCAAATATACTGTAAGTGGTGACTGTCACCGACCACAGATGCCGCCAACGCGTTCAACAGAATGGGGTCTGGGTGATGAAGCTTCGTTTTGCACAAAAATGCCGAGTTTTGCATATTCATTTGTTGTCTTTCTGTGGATACCGTAGTACATGAATTCGGGTTTTTCATATATTGTCACAATATCGAACTCCTGATAGAGATGGTTGTACACTTGACTTGATATATTAACTGATCTCAGTTCGTGTCATTCGCAATAAATCTGGCAACCATACCTTGTTCATTTGTTGCGTACAGCTTTATGAATTGCAAGTAGACTCAGTTATTCTATGGTTGAACATTAGGCATGGACACTAAGGAGGTTGTTTGAACCATTGATCCCTATCATGTAACCGGTTAAGTTGTCTGCTATTTGGGTTTTGACTTCGCGTTAGGTAGTCATTCGACAGTGTCATGTATGATTTTCTACTAATTTATGCAAACATAAGTTTTGTCCGTTGTTTAGTTGACTGCAGGTGCCCTAGTTTGTACAGGAACGGATGTTTATGTAGATATCTTGTTACAGTACCAAGAGTTTGGGTTGGCAGTAAACCTAAAACTCATCAGAGTATTTGTGTGAATGGAAATTTGCCAGACTAAGTTGTGATCCAGGTCCTCTTAGTTCTACACATCAACACTCATGGACTTCTGATCATGTAAGCACCTTCCGTGCTTCTTTGAGGAGCAAACATGCAACTCCTTGTGTAGAGCAATTTCTTCATCGTAACCGAAATACAATGATAATTCCTCGAGCCTTCCCTTTCCGTCCAGATTGTGTTCAGTAGGTTCCACCTATTCCAAGCAGAATAAGGTTTTATCTTCATTTCCGCCGATGTTTGATTGACCTTCCAAAATTCTCTGTACATTTAGTGTATACATTTACCTTTGCTCTAGTTGCCAAACGAGGTATAGGGCCTATGGTCCTCAAAGACTCTGCTCTTACCATGAAATGTTACAAGTTCCATATTAACACCCTTCAATTCTCAGGGCACAGGTTGAGTGGTGTGGATGGTTTTTATGCGTGTCCTTCTCCTTACTTAGAATTTTCCTCTCGAGGTGGGGTTGCTAACTCTACACTAGGTCCTTAACTAGCGATCGGAACAGAGGCTCCGTGCAGTGTCGTATATGTATCAAGGGCTATATGCCCATCACTGAGCCACTGGCTAAGTGGGGATTACGGAAGACTGTGCTTGGTACATCTCAGTTTTCGGCATATACAGTTCTAATGATGGCATGCTCTGGGTCTATTCGGGGTTTTGGACGTTTGTACAACCGTTGTGGCAAAGAGCACGTGGCTCCGTACCTTGTCAGGTAGTGCCTGGACTGTGCACGAACTCATTCGCGTTGAATGCTTACGGTGATATGTCAGCTTTTTGATAATGACAAGAAGCTCGAGTCACTAGTCCTTTGTCTTAAATTAGGATAAATCTAACGGAAACCCTGACACCATTTCTCAGAAGATGTCTACCCAATTAAATGTTAGATGGCTGTTGTCGGACTCTATATTTTGGACAAACTAGAACGAGTACGTAGTCCGATCTAATCAACTCGCAAGAGAGCTTGACTCACTAACCAAATTAATTGAGTAAGTCAATTTAAATTATGTTGAGGATATAGATAATTGAAACATTACCTTAAGCTAATCCGTCGCTTAACTGCACCATATAGCTTTCCGAGTTTTGGCAATGTATTCATAACTTAAGATCTAGCATTCAAGTGCAGTATCGCGCAACACTACCACAGGAATTGTAGCCCAAATCCCTTAATTCCATGAATGAACCGTCAGATTGAAGATTCAGAGTCCCGGTAATTATACCTGCTTATAATTAAACTGCACACACCTATACGTACCACTCTGTACTGACTGAGATCGAGAAGTACTAATCTACTATTGAGTTCAAGATTAGATAGCACTAACCTACGTAAAGTCAAGTACTACTAATTTTATATCAACTACTTTCTTTTCCATCACTCGAAACTTGTTTCACTTGATGGACAAGAGGACAATCTGGTTGTTTTCGGGTAATTGGCAACGCTTGCTCTTATCTTCTAGTTATGATAACTTTGATCAATTTCTTGGCAGACAGGCTTTCATTTTACTTCCAGTGACTCAGAATAAAGTCATCCAACCAGAAGTTATTTAGAGATCTTCAATTTTTCTGCCCGATCAGGAGCCTTGAGACATGCTCTACTTTTGGTGTCCGATTTTATATGCTTAAATTGTTAAATAAGAAGCCGATTTTACACGACACTAGTAGACACATCATTATCGGTTTGCTTTACCAGACCGCATCACCACATTGCAATAAGATCATTTCAGGACAAATCCCAGAGTACTGGGAGTAGCAATTGAGAAGATCAGGTATAGAAAAAGAAAATGTATCGAGATTTTGGGACTCAGGTTTTAGGAAATGAGTGAATCCACCTACGTTATTGCGAAGATTCTGGACCATGTCAACCAAAATCTCTAACAGTTGGTTTCGATATTCGCGGATTCCAACCGTGCTGTCTACACTTATCTGCATAGCTCAGCCCAATGGTCAATGACTCCATGGACTGGTGCCGTGTCTTAGTTTCACCTCCCACTGGTCTCTCACAGTCTATTCCTACACCAGACATCCCTGTTGAAGGAAGCGGTAGTTGGACATACTCAATGCGTACCAATAACCTTAGGTGACCATTGCGTAGGCTTTTTATCGGGCTGAGTTTAAGCTGCCTACGCTCCTTATCGTGTTCAGGCCAAGACGTGATGAATTCTCGAGCATCCATCAGTTCAGTGGGCGCTACTGAAATCCATTGATATCTCTTCACGTTCTGGCTCAAGTTACTGGTAGGTATCACAGCTGTTTGAGCACCATGTCCGACTGCCTCGGAATGAATATCAGTCATGATTGACTAGTTGTTCCTGAAATATGTTCATCAAGTTGAACCTCAAGGGTTTTGTTGTTCCTTTCCTACGTCCAGTAAGATGCAGCTAAATACGTGCTTGCACTAGACTGCGACTCCAGTCTAAACATGCGTCCCAGTACGGTCGACAGCCTACTGTTGATCCCCTCCAACGGCGTCTGATGGCGATGTGGTCTATTTGCGTCCATCGCTGATCCGATTGTGAGGTCGCCGTATCAGATGGTGTTTAAAGTTGGCGCTTGTTATAACCAAGCTGCTATTTGTGCGTAATTACTGCATCCGTTTGTCGTTATCTGTTCTGCGAGCCGCAATACCGTAAGACCCACCTAACTGACTTTCAGTTTGATTTAAACTATCTACCTAAAAATAACAATTACCTCCCACCAGGACTATATCTGAGCGTTTGGCTTTTTTGGAGGTCGGAAGGCTTTCCATGAAACTCACCTTCTCCTCGATCCAAAGCGTAGGCAGAGGCAACGGTGTGCCCTCATATTATCGAGGTTTTGTCCCGTTTAGTCGGACAGCACAAAAGCGACTGTCTGTCAGAGTCCAGTTCAAGAAAACTTGTTCTGATTGTGAACTTAGTGCTATAGCCTGATATGCGAGACCGCTGCATTGGAGATCTGCAGACGGTGTTCTGGAGTCCTATCTTTGTTATCTTGCTGTGATATTCGGCACGTTTTATCATTGTGATCTCCACTATTTGTAGTTTGTTACACGGTTCTAGCGGACCAGAGATAACATTTCTTTTAAAGATCTTACAATCAGAGACGAAAGTCTTTAGGTTTAGTTGTGACATTTTTGGACATCGACATTTCTTACCTCTCTCCGTTTTTGGAGTCATCATCGTTTCATATATTGGTTATATGAGCCATGCATTTTTGCGGTCAGTAGTATTACTTCTCTCTCGAACATTAAGTTGCTGCTCTTAATGGTACTGTTGTTTTCAAATCATTTGACTCGCATGGTAGGACCTGCAGGAACAAAAGTCTGATCTAGTGCATCTCGATTGAGTCATTATGATAGGTAGCCTAAACCAACACGTTAGTGTAATTGCTACATTTGGACAATAGATAATAAGGCCAAACTTATTACCGTTGTAGATCCACTAATGTACATTTGGAATTCATATTTTTGTCAATGTTTTTTAATGTATTGTGACTTTTAATCAGATGATAGCTAAAATGAACTATTAATCCGGTTATTAACTAATGTCTATTGTTTTTCCAGCTATGTGGCCTCATTTCTCCGCTGCCGCCTGGACAAAGACCCTCATTCATGGCCCTCCACCATCCGTTGAGGAAAAAGTGGATAATTCTGATGGCTGGGGAGCCCTAGCTCGACAGTGGGCTCATCAGCGTAGTAGCCAATTGCAGCCTCATTACACTAACAACGTAGCTCTACCTCCTCCACCTCCACCTCCACCTCCACCTCCACCTCCACCGCCCCCTCCTTCTCCGCCTCCGCCACCAATCGCTTTTATACCAGCAACTCAAATCCAGTCAAATACAAGCAACTTAGTTTCCAATGCATCCAGAGTTGACTCCAGCCACCTATTAATCCCAAACTCCCTATTATGTGCACAAGAGAACCCCCTTCCCTCACAAAGTATGTGCTCAGTACCTGAAAATCAGGGGGCTCCACAGAGTTCTTGGTCTTCATTCGAAAATTCCAGGGTCTCGCAAAATTCGTGGTCTACAAATAGCGGTCAAGCATATTCACAGAATTTGTGTACGGCACCTGGATATCATGGTCCTCCTCAAAGTGCTTGGCCATCCTATAATAATCATGAGCGTTCCCAGAATGCTTGGCCTTCACAAGCAAGCTTACAAAGCAAATGGTCGGCACATGAAAGTCACTCTTATGGTAACCAAGTTCCTCAGGGATATAGTAATACCATTTCCCTGCCAGGTCCTTCGTCTCAATATTATGAACATAATCACCATCAAATCAATTATCCTTCCAGTGAAAATTCAAACAATCCTGGTATACATTGTAAGTCTTATGAGGAACAGTATTACAGTGTGGGGAGTGGCCATACGGGTCAAAACACACGCTATCAAAAGAGATGGACTCAAAATGATCAGGGTGATTGCGATTATGGTTCTCACGCTTCAGAAGTTTATGATTATAACCATTCTTACTCTCTTGAAAGGTCATTTAACTCGTCAGCTGTCAGACCGGCTAATCCTTATAACCAACCCTATCCACGTTCTAACCAGAATAATCGTAACATGTGGCCTAGAAATCCCGAGTCTTTCCAACCCGTAGAAAGCTTTCCTCCACCTGAGCAATTCAACGATATGCACATTCACCGTCCGAGTTATCAATATCAAGTGAGAGTTGTGGGTTTGTTTGGGGTATACTAATTTATGGGTTTCAAAGAATTTCGTTTTTAAGTGTCCTATGTGCTTAAATATTTCTTTGAATTCAACCAGTATTATTTTAAAAAGATATCCTTCGTAACATCGCTTATCAATTTGTAACTAATGTACTGCATTAGTTTGTTGGTTAAAACTCTTGTCGTTAGTAATATTGGAGCTTATTTTGAGGATCTTGTTAACTGTAGGTTCAAACCTAGTTGTAGTATGAGGTTTAATGATTTGATGCTCTTTTTTGTTTAGGGAAATCACTACTTAAGTCACATGGATGTTTAGTATTTTAATTTTTTAATGAATTAATCATGTTCGAGTGTAGACCGTTTAACTGTAGCACGTTGTGAGCAATGAAACTACAAAATTTTAAGCATATTACATTATTCTTAGAAATTCATTGCTTGTAAATATTGCTTCTTGAAGTAAGTTATTAAAAAGAGATAACATTCCTCTTTACTTTTATGCAGGATGAACCTAAATATATTCCTCTCAGTGAAGATGCATCGGTGAATGAAGGTAATCAATTCCGTGGATGTCATGATCACGACTACCGCATAACAATACAGAGTCCTACAGTTCCGTCTGGTAGTATGGAAGAAAACTGGAAGGATGTGGATACTCGTCCTAATCTGCCTAGCGACAGTGGTCACACAAGCCCGGCAATATTTCCGTCGGCTATTGCAAATAAAGCCTTGGCTGATCCTAGACCGATTTCGCTTATCCCAACTCCCATTATTGAATCTTCGTGTAAGCCCAGAGGTCGTATCACACATCTGCCCGTTCCGGAACACCTAATGACAGCTTTCGGTGGGCCCTCATAATATCTTCTTTTTTGTTCACACTTGATGTCTTTAATGTATTGATTTTTTGCCTTATGGTAGGATTTTATTTGAAAGTATCGCAACATACTGCTTAGCAGAATTATATTCTTTATAAAATCCTACTTCGCGACTGACTTTGTAAGTTTGATCTTTCGATTAGGACTCCCTCGTTATACTATATAGTTTGTTGGAATGTTCTATGAATAGATAAGGGAATTTGTTGAGGTTGGTTTGTTTTGGAACCAAATATCCTAAACTCTCGTGTTTGTGGACAAAGTATGAATGAGTCCATAATTTCCGTTGTCTGATAATTAAAAGTCAGTCAGTCGTAACGTAGAACCCAGTACGTCTGTATATCTTTTCAAGTTGCCGTACTCCATTAGCGCAGAAAAATGAAATTTTCAGATCAAATCTCAGGATTGTAGAGGTACAGTGTTCGTAGTAATCGAAAAGATTAAGCATCGAAGGCCTATTTCCAAAAAATAGTAAAATAACACAATAGAATTTCAGAATTCTGGAAAGACAGAGAATATATGTATCTGTGTCATTGCAAACGATTTTGAGCCATGTCATTCAAAGCCTATGACCATTAATTACAGTATTCACGCGGATCCCAACCAAGTGGTGTACACATGAGTCAATCCAGTTGTCAGTGTCTTCATGGAGTGGTTATAATTCAAAAACCGTGTTAGTTTATGCTTAGTATGATAAAATTCTCTTCATATTTCATCCTAGTTTTATTGTAGCTAAAAGTGATGCCGTTCAACGATTTTAAGCTTCACTTCACTCTAACGGGTTCTTAATCAATAGAAACTGGCAGGCCTTTCTGTAATTTGAAAATAACAGGCTTTTTGGTTTATAAATTATACATTTATAGGAAATATTCTAGTACAATTTGTATACTAGAGTTATGCATTGCACCAATGAGTGGTGATGCTATAATTAAATTAAGACAAGATTGCAAAATCAATGAGTAAATGAACGAATCCGTGTTTGATAAAAGCAAACTAACATTACTTATGATTCGTTCCTCTTCAGTTTGATAATCCCGTTTTTAATTATCCGGGTTTTCTCGGTCATTATTTTACAATTTAAAACACTGTCCAGAGGAAGCTGCTGCAAGCACTGGAGTCTGGCCTCCAAAAAATTTAGAACCAGAACAAACCGGAGGTGGTAATACCAAACCTCGTGCTCTCCCCGCATGGCTTCGTGATGAATTAGAGAAATTGGAAAAGAAGAAAGCTAAAGAACTGGCCGCTGTATCTGGAGCTACTGGTTAGTCTAAATGTGTTTACAGTAGTGTTGCTCAAGTTTTTGAATGCTTGAAACGATATAGAGTTTACACAGGGATAAGCTTTTACCTGCATTGTGGGTCAGACCATTAGGTCAAAGGCTCGGGGTGTGGCCCCCTAAGGAAACCACCTGCTTCGGTCTGGGCACTCGGGCAGTATCATAGCCCACACACAAATGAAATGAAAATGACTATATTATTATTATTACTGTTTATTTATTATTTATTTGAACACATAAATATTGGTACAAGAGAGCGCCAATATATATATGCGCCATATAAAACAATAAGAATTCGAAGACAAAGAAAAGAAAAGGTAACGGGCGTAGAAAAAAAGAGAAAAATAACGAAAAGGTTGGTGTAAGGTAGTGTAGTAATAATAATAGTAATAATGAAGGGACGGAAAGGTACAATCAGAAGAAATCTTTCAGTTAAGGAAGATACAACCACTTTTTATGAAGAAAGTAAGGGAAGGTCACAGCAGGATCGCCACTGGCTTCTACTCTGAGCCATATCTGATAACGTCTCTAGCTACTGTGTAGCACCATCTCTCGGACCCCAACCAGGGAGTCGTGAAGGACCGACAGAAGCCAGTCCTTTACAGCTTTCTTTCATACCACGACACCATGTCATGCACCGACCACTTCTCCGCTTCTTCCAACCAGTCCCAGAGTCGGCAAATAATGCACGACGTGGAATTCTCTGGGACGACATTCGTAAAACGTGTTCAAGCCATCAAAGTCGATGTTTCAAGATGGTGACATCGATTGCATTATCATCTCTGTGCCCGAACACACGATGCCGAACTTCTGCATTACTGACATGGTGTTGCCACTGGATGTCAGCAATCCTTTGGAGACAGCGATGATCGAACACAAAGAGTCGTCTAACGTCCTCAACTCGGAGAGACCAGGTTTCACAAGCATAGAGCAGAACTGCTCTCACCAACGCGTTGTAGATAGGACCTTTTACAGCCAGACTAACATCACGAAGGCGCCAAAGATAGCCCAGATTGGCATAAGCCGCTCTGGCTTTCACTATACGTGCATTGATCTCATCACTCACACTGCCACCAGCACTTATGCAGCTACCCAGATACACGAACTTCTCGACTACTTCTATCTGCTCACCATCCAGAGTGGGTACAGGATTAGAATCCTGCCAGTCTTGTAGAAGTACTTTGCACTTCGAAGGTCCAAAGCACATACCATACTTACGGACACTGATTGCCAACTGATTAAATGCGGATTGCATGGCTTGAGCATTATCGCACAGTAAGACAATATCGTCCGCATACTCAAGGTCGAGAAGTCTTTCTCCAGGCAACAGATCCACACCACCATTACTTACATCCATCAGAGCCGTTTCCAGAATATCATCGATGGCAAAGTTGAAGAGGAATGGTGAGATTGGGCAACCCTGCATAACCCTACAACTCGAATGGAACAATGGAGAGAGGTGGTTGTATGCCCTCACTCTGCCTGAGGTGTTTGTGTATGGGGCTTTCAAGATGTTAATAAACTTCTCAGGCACACCCTCTTCAATAGACAATCCCAGAGAACAGTCCTGTCCAACGAATCAAAGGCAGCCCTGATGTCAAGAAACACTACGATTGTTGGCCTTTGATAAGTATGGAAGTGTCCGACCATTTGGCGTAGGCTGTAGATATGATTTTAATTAAGAAGGACACGCATAAAAACCATCCACACCACTCAACCTGTGCCCTGAGAATTGAAGGGTGTTAATATGGAACTTGTAACATTTCATGGTAAGAGCAGAGTCTTTGAGGACCATAGGCCCTATACCTCGTTTGGCAACTAGAGCAAAGGTAAATGTATACACTAAATGTACAGAGAATTTTGGAAGGTCAATCAAACATCGGCGGAAATGAAGATAAAACCTTATTCTGCTTGGAATAGGTGGAACCTACTGAACACAATCTGGACGGAAAGGGAAGGCTCGAGGAATTATCATTGTATTTCGGTTACGATGAAGAAATTGCTCTACACAAGGAGTTGCATGTTTGCTCCTCAAAGAAGCACGGAAGGTGCTTATATGATCAGAAGTCCATGAGTGTTGATGTGTAGAACTAAGAGGACCTGGATCACAACTTAGTCTGGCAAATTTCCATTCACACAAATACTCTGATGAGTTTTAGGTTTACTGCCAACCCAAACTCTTGGTACTGTAACAAGATATCTACATAAACATCCGTTCCTGTACAAACTAGGGCACCTGCAGTCAACTAAACAACGGACAAAACTTATGTTTGCATAAATTAGTAGAAAATCATACATGACACTGTCGAATGACTACCTAACGCGAAGTCAAAACCCAAATAGCAGACAACTTAACCGGTTACATGATAGGGATCAATGGTTCAAACAACCTCCTTAGTGTCCATGCCTAATGTTCAACCATAGAATAACTGAGTCTACTTGCAATTCATAAAGCTGTACGCAACAAATGAACAAGGTATGGTTGCCAGATTTATTGCAAATGACACGAACTGAGATCAGTTAATATATCAAGTCAAGTGTACAACCATCTCTATCAGGAGTTCGATATTGTGACAATATATGAAAAACCCGAATTCATGTACTACAGTATCCACAGAAAGACAACAAATGAATATGCAAAACTCGGCATTTTTGTGCAAAACGAAGCTTCATCACCCAGACCCCATTCTGTTGAACGCGTTGGCGGCATCTGTGGTCGGTGACAGTCACCACTTACAGTATATTTGGTCTTCTTGGTTTCTTGCAGGCGGAATATTCTCTGCTTTTCTTGGAACTGCAGTTCCCATAAGGATATTATTAATTTTGAGTTGTGGCAACTGATGGTGTACGATAGGTTTGGATGTCACAAGTTTGTCGGGACTAGTCAGATGCATATTTCTGATACGACAGTATTGAGATGCTTTGTGTATTTCAGACGCTTACATATCTATTCCTTGGCCAGTACTTAGGTATTGACAAACCATTTGTCATCGTTATGATTAGATTTTTTGACTGTGAACTGAATAAAAAACGGAAGCTTATAGAAGAGTTTGTAGGCCTAGTGAGACCTCTCTGAGTCCTGGCCAAATCATCCATCAATCTGAACCATTTCTAAATCTGATCACTGAACTTCGAATAGTTTGTTGAAATTGTCAATGCTAAGAATGACTAGCGTAAGATAGTGAGCTTGCACGCCATGAATCGCCCCATTTACTTCTCTAATCCGTCCTATCTAATGAAGTAAATCACTTCAGAAAGACTCTACTTGTTTTGTGCGGTTGTAACAGCCGAAGTTAGGTAGTAAAGAGTTGACTGGTAGTCTCTTATAAGAATCGAAACATTTGAGACATAATTTGGTCATTTAATTTCGCATTTTATTTAAGTATGACACTTCCCATTTTGTTCTATTAAATAATGAAATTATGAGAAGAGGTTTTTTGGAGATTTTAGAAATTTTAATAGGCGAAGTCATGTGTCAAGTGGAGCTAGACCACCATGAAAAACCTGGAAGCACTAGACGGAGAGTTGAGATCAATGCATCTTGAAAGCCCTATACACAAACACCTCAGGCAGAGTGAGGGCATACAACCACCTCTCTCCATTGTTCCATTCGAGTTGTAGGGTTATGCAGGGTTGCCCAATCTCACCATTCCTCTTCAACTTTGCCATCGATGATATTCTGGAAACGGCTCTGATGGATGTAAGTAATGGTGGTGTGAATCTGTTGCCTGGAGAAAGACTTCTCGACCTTGAGTATGCGGATGATGTTGTCTTACTGTGCGATAATGCTCAAGCCATGCAATCCGCATTTAATCAGTTGGCAATCAGTGTCCGTAAGTATGGTATGTGCTTTGGACCTTCGAAGTGCAAAGTACTTCTACAAGACTGGCAGGATTCTAATCCTGTACCCACTCTGGATGGTGAGCAGATAGAAGTAGTCGAGAAGTTCGTGTATTTGGGTAGCTGCATAAGTGCTGGTGGCAGTGTGAGTGATGAGATCAATGCACGTATAGTGAAAGCCAGAGCGGCTTATGCCAATCTGGGCTATCTTTGGCGCCTTCGTGATGTTAGTCTGGCTGTAAAAGGTCCTATCTACAACGCGTTGGTGAGAGCAGTTCTGCTCTATGCTTGTGAAACCTGGTCTCTCCGAGTTGAGGACGTTAGACGACTCTTTGTGTTCGATCATCGCTGTCTCCAAAGGATTGCTGACATCCAGTGGCAACACCATGTCAGTAATGCAGAAGTTCGGCATCGTGTGTTCGGGCACAGAGATGATAATGCAATCGATGTCACCATCTTGAAACATCGACTTTGATGGCTTGAACACGTTTTACGAATGTCGTCCCAGAGAATTCCACGTCGTGCATTATTTGCCGACTCTGGGACTGGTTGGAAGAAGCGGAGAAGTGGTCGGTGCATGACATGGTGTCGTGGTATGAAAGAAAGCTGTAAAGGACTGGCTTCTGTCGGTCCTTCACGACTCCCTGGTTGGGGTCCGAGAGATGGTGCTACACAGTAGCTAGAGACGTTATCAGATATGGCTCAGAGTAGAAGCCAGTGGCGATCCTGCTGTGACCTTCCCTTACTTTCTTCATAAAAAGTGGTTGTATCTTCCTTAACTGAAAGTTTTGCATTGGTCATTATAAATCCCTTGAATTCGTTAAATGTATTACATTTAATCTAATTTATCTACGCAATTTCTGATTTCTAATCTGGTACTACACAGCCACAGAGAATTTGTTTTTATCCTATTTTGAGTTGACATTCCAAAGACTGTTCATCATAATGCTCGAAGTTTTTTCATTTGTTCAGTACTGATTTTAAAGCATCCACCTAGTTGTTTTCTGGGTGTTGTCCTCTGCAGACTAATGAGAATAATCATATCTTGTGCCGTCCAAGGTAAATTATTCAGAATACTACAATAAGCATGATTATTTCGATCAGTGTTAGGTATTATTTTGTTCAGTTCCAGGATAATGCGCATTTTTTGTTATGTTTCTTTATACTATGACGCAACTGGTGTTAAAATGCCTTAGACAACACTAGTTGGGTCGTTTACTATTTATTTTCGGGATATGTTACTAAATTCTTTTAGTCAAAATGATAATTGATGTTTAATACCTGACGTTAAAATTACCTCAATGCTTCATCACTATCTTAAGTTTTAGGGGCTGCTCCTGATGCTAAAAGGGATGATGAAGGTGATATCGTTATGGAGGATGAAGCTAAAACTGATGTCCAAACACTAAAATCTCTATTGAACAATAATGAGGAATCAGATAGTGATGTCAAAGAACAGGGAAGTCCTTTTGATGTCTCAAGTAATCCTGTTGGTGACCTCCAATCCCCGTTTTCATCTCGAAGTCAACCTCCTGCGGAATCAGAGGAAATCTCAAACCCTGAAACTGCGGTAAAACAACTAACTACAGATAATTCTCAAAATATTTTACCCAACACTCCTGCATCATTAACGGTAAGCTCATTGAAGCTTGTAAGCAAATTTCAGTGCTTAATCGTCAAGCTACTGTATGGTGATTTGACTTCTCGTAGCTATATTCCACATTTGAACCAAAAGTCCCAGATATCCCATTAATGCATTCGTTTGACACTTTCATCAAATCGCTTCATTGTATTGAGAAGAGTAGGATTTGAAGCAATTTAATGATTTTTAGTTTATGAGATTTTAAAAGGGAAGTTTTTGGAAAGTATCAGGTAAAGCTAGCTGAACTTTCCAAAAACTAACTATTGTATTGTCTAGCGCTTTGAACAATTGACGCATATTGTCATTAAATATGACTTTATTGAATTCGATGCTACCTCACACTCATTCTCTGCCACATGTTTGATATGTATTTGGTTTTGCGAATGTTGGAACTGCCGTATTCGAACTGGTGCACAACAGCCTACACATCTGCTATCCCTTCAAGAATTTCATGAGTTGTTCGCATCACTATCGGACGAAGAACAAAGGACTGAAACGGTAAGAAAATATTGTATCCAATATATTTTCCCAAACGCAAATAAATATTTTTTTGATTTTCTAGATATTTCTTACTTGAAATATGGAAGGTTGACATTAACGTATCAATTACAAAGCTTATGACTTTCATAACAAACTTATAAAGATGTATTTTTTCTAACCTAGTAGTAATTGTTTGTGCTGGTCGGAATTTTTTCCAACCTAGAAAAGTAGTTAGAAACACGATGTTTGTGAACTTGTACACAGATCGGTTGCTTCACTTTAAACAACTGTGGTCTCACATGATAGGTGTAGCTCATATCCTAGTACATAAGTTAATATTTATATTTACTTTGATTTTATTCAGCTTAATCTTTAGTATTTTATTCAATTATGTTCTGTGAGCTAGCTTTTTTTCTTTGAATTGTTTGGAATGGTTCATTTGGTCATTGTGATTTCACTAAATGTGATCACCATGAAGCCTTAGACCTAGTTACTCGTCAGGAATACACATTCACTGATATTCATCTGGAAAATCAAACCTCCATCGCTGTTTCATAATCAAAGACGTTTCTTCTGAAATATTCAAAGTGCGACCGATATATTGGACGAAAAAGTCGACACTAATCGATCATTACTTAGGACCAGGTAGACATGGAATTGATAATTTGTCAGTGATCTGTGAATCGCTGTCAAACACTGCGACGTTAGAAGCAAGTTGTTTTTTTGTGCTAGTAATGTCGTTTGTGTGATAGTGGTGGGGTTTTCATTGGAAACTTTCAACTGTCAATCAACACAATCCAGCTACTCTTCCGGATCTCTGAAAGTTTGAGCAGCCAAATAAATACCATTATTTCTCAGACAATAGTGATTAAGTATGCTTAGATTTTCAAGATGGTGTTATAGTTGTTCTTCACATAACTAGGTTTATAAGTAAAGAATATTATCCGTGAATGATATCTGTTTACGATCTAATGTTCTTTCCAAAACAAGACTTAATAAATTTGAATAATCAGTAAATTTCATCCGGTTTTACAGGCTCGTTTTATTACCCGGACGCTGACGGAGGCTCTACTGGCTGTTACAACTGAACTCATTGACGCCATAGTAGAAGAAGTAATGACAGAAGCGGTTTCAGGAAAATCGCATGTTCTACCATTAGAAGACTCTCCATATGTTGAGATAAAATCCCCAATTCTAGGTAACTGGATAGCATTTGTTTTTTTGTTTTTTCTGTAACTAGTTTGATTTATTATATTTAATCACAGCTTAATTATATGGTCCCAATTATTAACTAAGTAACATGTTCTAAGGGTTGAATTGAACTATTATTCATCTCAGTGATTCATCGCCTGAGATTTTGTATTTGTATTTTACTTCATATTTAACCAGCAGTACTTGGGAATGCAAATGCTTATCTGTTTTTTAGTTATTTTTTGTCTAAGTTTCTTAAGCGCTGATTAACAGACATATTATTTAGCGTAGTGAGGTGGCTAGACTCTCAAATCCTAATCAATACAAACAAGGACGTTTGACACTTCGGTTTCAGCTAAGTATTTTTATGATTATGTAGTGTGCTAATAACTCATATACTACGTTTACTTTATATTGTCACATGAACTGGTGTTCATGTGAAAAGACTACACTGCTGTAACTAATGCACGCATGTTGTACTACATAGTATGATTGCTTATCGGTTCAAGTTATTAAACTACTCATCGTAACGTCGAAAGCTTATAAAAAGTGGGAAAATGAGGGCAATGAGATTTGTGGTATTCATAGTGGTGAAAATTTAAGTGAAAATAATCTTGATAGGGGCCTAAAGTAGTACTAGAAATTGATGTATGAAAATTCTAAATAACTCAATGTTCACGATTTAAAAATAATTAAATAATGCATCCTCACCTTTTTGAGCTATGTCGAATAATGTTCTATGTGAAAAGCTATGAATTTTCGTTTAATAATCGAAGCTATACGTTCTGCTTTATGTAACATTGTTTAACTTTTAACGTGCTAAATGACATTTAACTGGGTTCTCCGGTTTGATACAATTTACTAAATGACAATATTGCCGGTAATTTAAACTGCCTAACGTATTACCTATTTACAATCATATGTGACGGTAGAAATTACATTATGGGTATTATACTGTGGCCCATGTGACCAGGCTGTAACTTTCGAAGAATTACTATATAATTTCTCTGGTTCGATCAATTATTTTCCCTATGTCTACACGGTAAGATCGGTAACTTGTTTACCTACAACCATCGATTAATGATGAATAACCAAAAACTTAACACTTACTGGCTCTTGAGCTCCTATTAACCTATAATTCAACCAGAGGATAAAAGTAAGAAGCAGGTCGGTTCTCTATTGTATTTTATTTAATCATGACTCAAATCTCATAGAATGATATACCTGAAATGACTGACAACACGGTAACACGAGAGAGAAGAGTTATCGGGGAGCATCCAGGTTTTTATTCAAATAGTTATGTTATTTCTCAAATCGCTGTCTCTACAGCATTGGTTACAGTGAAAGGACTATCAAGCAAACGCTGCTCTTGATAATATATTTGAGTATTTAATTGTCAAAATTTATAAAGGAAATTCATTAACCCCTATTATTTTGCAACTTTTTACAGGGTTGGTCTCTTATAATAGTGAAAGTGAGTCAGAATCTGAGCAAAACGTGCTGGAAAGTAAACTACCCACAAGTAATATATCAGGTATACTACCAGGTGATGTTCCTGATGATGTAAAGCATGATTATACATCACACAATAGTCCTAGTAACGAAAGTAAGTTTATATAAATAATGAGGTAACTTTTTATACTCGTCCGTGAATCTTAGAAACCGTTGATGAAAATCGCTGGATCATGGGTGTTTCTGTAAATTCTATGCAGTCGATCATCTCTCCTACATCTCCAACACTTAGTTGATGGTGATATCCTTTTCTGTCGACCCTTAATTCATTTTGTCCTCACACAACATGTTCGATTGTGTATGTATTTCGCACTACTGTGTCCCATTATTTTGATAATGAATGAAACCTTTGAAAACATTGTCTCTTGTGGCAGCTTTATTTATAAGTATACATTCGTGATTTTGATGGAGTTTTGTTCTCTGAGCTGGATGGTTTGGTCGTGGAGCTTTCATCGTTCTTCTGAACGACATCATCAGCAAAAACTTCAGATAGAAGTGTTTGAATTTCTCCATACATTTGTGATCTTTGTTATCTGCGAAATCATGGCTCTCATACTTATGCTTCAAATTCAAGTGTTAATCAGCTTTCGGGGATCGTGGGTGCGATAAAATGATTTCAAGTAGGCCTTTTTTTCTTCCTGGGATTGTTTTGCGTAGTTCGACATTATATCCAATAGAAATCTAATAACTTAATGTAGTGATCATCTAAGTCAATCACTATGATCGTTGAGTATAGATTTTTGTGACTTAATAATGATCGATGAATTCTTGAGGTATTTGGAGTACTCTGTACATTTCTAATAGTTTCATGTCTGCAATTCGTGATCCGCTTTACTGTTTGATATAACGTCTCATCGACTTTAATATCGTAAGAAAACTTTGTTATTCTACAGCTTAACCGATGCTTTATTTATCATTTCTTTCAAAATGTCACTTAACACAGGCTTGTCATGGTGCTGTGTTATCGTGAATTGAATGGATTCAGTTATCTTAAATTGTAATACTTTGATGTTAATACTTAGTGCTATCAATGTGCCAAGCACTAATTTAGGAACTTGTGAAAAATAATTGCACGCACGCTATGTAGTGCTCAAGTAAAACACCTTTTACTTATCGAGACTAATTAGCTTAGTGTCGTCACATAAATTCGACAGTAACTAAGATAAACATCAGTTTGTCTTTGAATGTGTATGTTGTATAGTGGTTGTTTCAATGAAATATGCATTTGGCGAGAACATATGACATATAAAGATCCTATCAATATATTCGTATGTTACATGGTTTTTCCCCATATTAATTTTGTAATTATGAGTTTGGAATACAGCTATATTTCGTATTCTTTTTATTCTGTATGACTTCTAGTAGATATTTGTAACCAACTTTCCTACAAATTTCTATTTCCCTTCACTAAATTTAATCAGTAGACTACGTTTTTTCCGTTCATATCAACTGATAAATTTAAAAATAAAAAAAATAGTGAAAATTCATGTTCGCAATAGTTACAGTCAATAAGTACTGGTTCTTCGTTTTTCGAAGTTCTTATAATTTGTTTTACCTTCCAGATAATAAAATTGTCACTGAAAGTGGGAAATTTCAAACTGTACAAGAAAAGTATTATGAAAAGCAATCTTATTCTTCCAGCATTCATCAGAAATCTTCTAAACGCCATAAAAATGAAAAAGAAACGGATACGGCCGTCACAATTTCACGTTCGCATTCCAAACATTCACATAAAAGGAAAACAAATTCACGGCATTCCCATCGTAGTCGTAAGAGGGATATTCGTGATTCTTCAACAGCTTCTTCAGAATCTTCGAGTTCGAATCATGGGAACCAAAAAGTAGGACTCTCTCGATTCAGTCGATCCTCAGAAGATCACAGTGATAATGTTCGGTCACCAAAACCTTATTTTACGAAGTCCAGTCATTCGAAACATTCTCATCATAAAAGTCATCATTAGATTTGTACACTTTCCTGTACTAAGTGTTAACCTGTCTTCGGTTTGCACTTATAATCTTTAGTTCACAAGTGAGATTTCAGACAGGTAATTTAATCATTTGGTAAGTGAATTTTATGACTTTCAAATCAAACCTATTTCTTCATGATTGACTTAACAATAGTAACATGGTATTTTATTCATCTTTTGTTTTGGTAGTACAAAGTTACTGCATTAACTGTAAGATACAGTGGATCTGAATTTATATATTAGTCCACAGTACGCACTTTTGGAAAGCAACATTATACGCTTCATTTTGAGTTGGCATACAATATCTATTCATTTTTATGGTGTTTGTTGTTTGGTCTAAAAGTAATGTTTAAGTTCTAGGCACATCCTTTTTTTGCTACAGTTCTTACACTCGTTATTGTTCTATTTAATCTTCGTTTTCTCAACTATATTTCCTTGACACTTCCTTGCAAATGTTCTCAATGTCTTCAAATAAACTGGTGATCTCATACAGGTCTCCGTGTTCCGGTACTGAATAATGCTACCAGTACAATTAGACAGAGTATCGTACAGTTACTCTTACGTTTATCCCTCTATTTCTTATGCTTATTCTGTTCAACCTACTGACACAATACTCCAAGTAAATCTTAAAACAGAGTAGCTATTTTTTGAAACCTATTGATTTCAACCTTCTTTCAGTCAGTAATTTGCTTTCCCGAATTATCGTCGAATTTGTCTTTGCTTTTCAGGTATGGAAATATTCGGTTTCCCAACAATACAACTGTTAATATGATCTTAATTTCTTTTTCATATAAATATGTGTACAAAGTACGAATCATTTGTCTACTTAAAAATAATCTACTGCCAGTCTCCATCTTATTCTTTGTCTTACTGATTGTGCTAGCTTTAGTCGTAACGTGAACAATATCGGGTTTCGAATTATTTTTAACTTTGAAAGTATACAAACATAATTCAGCTGTTAGTCACGCAGATTGTCTCGAATGTGTAAAGTATAATCATATTTGATGATTATTAACGATGCATCAATTTCCAGCTTTAGGTCACAGGTTTGTATATTAAATTATTGCTGGTCAAGTACTTAAAATTCTGGTTCACCTCCTCTTTTGTTATATACATTTTAAAAACGCAAATGCTTGTTTTGTTTCTTTTGTGATATCTTAACTTATCTTGAGTCTTTAAATGGATAGGAACGTTCGAATAGATGAAAAGACGTTTTAATAAATTCACACAATTCGCATAAACTTACGAACGTTCGTGCGAGTTTAATCCAACTACCAGAATAATAGTGTAAAAATGATTCATCTCAGACAATCAAGTCGTTTTGTTCTAATAAGTGTTTAGTGTTCAGGAAAACTAATCATATATGATAGAATAAGGTACACAAATAATGTTTTTCGTTTCTTTATAAAATTTAAGGCATTTCTGTTTTGTATGAAAATTGTTCAAATGAACAGATACATCACCAACTAATAAATGGAATGCATTGATTTGATGTGGCCGAACGATCTCTTATGCGAACAAATACGGATATTAACCCATTTATGTACTAGTTATCAGTCAGTCAGCTACAACGTAGGACCAGGCACATATGTGCATCGGTCCAGGTTGCCATACCGCATCAGCACAACAAGATGAACACCGGATTCATAGCAGTGGTTAGGTCAAAGGTAGTAATATGTAAGAGAAAGATTACATATAGAGATGTAGTACAAGAAGAAAGAATTGGTTCGTAGAAAGAAAGATATGAAGCGATTTTAATCTCATGTTTTGAGAGAAGACGAAGAATGTATACACCGACGCCATTGTGATCGATTCTGAACCATGTCACCAAGAGTCTCCAACCATTGGTTACGATAGTCACGCGGACCCCAACCAAGTAGTCTGCATCTACCAACATGGCTCAGACTAGAAGTTAGTGACTTCAAGCACTGATGCCACGTCTTGGTTTGGCCGCCCCTAACTTTCTTCCAACCATTTCCAATACCGGATAGCATTGCACGTCGTGGTAATCGGTGTTCAGGCATACGTAACACATGGCCCAACCATCTCAGTCGATGAAGATTCATAACCTCATCATCTGATTTACCATCATTCCCTAATACCCTGCGTCTAACCTCACTATTACTTACCCGGTGATCCCAGCAGATGCGAGCAATATTTCTAAGGCATCTGTGGTCAAATACTAGTAGCTTACGAGTGTCTTCTACTCTTAATGGCCATGTTTCGCTGCCGTAAATTAAAACAGAACGGACTGCCGCGCAGTATACTCGTATTTTTATTCATAGACAGATATCTCGCCTTCGCCATAGGTGACGCAAGTTGGCAAAAGCCAATCGAGCTTTTCGAATCCGTGCTGAGAATTCGTCCGATACCAACCCATTAGGGCTGATCAGACTTCCAAGATAAGTGAAATTGTCAACGCGTTTGACTACTTCACTCCCTATCCTTAGATCAGGTGTTGACGACGACCAGTCCTGAAGCAAAAACTTGCATTTAGAGGGAGACAAGCGCATTCCAACATCCTGGCATTGTTGCTCAGTGCTACCAGAAGACTGCATTTTGTCAGCGTCTTCACCAGACAGTTATAAGGAGTCTTCAAGTTGGAAAAATAGGTATTTACAGTGAAGGTACTTGTTATGTACAAAAAATAAGTTTAAATGAACAATATTAAAAGCTAAGCCCGACATGAACGATTTAAATACACAGGTTTAGTTCACTCCGATGCCAAACCAAATCATATCCTTAACCATTAAATTTATTCACGTCTCACGCGCCGTTTTTACAATCATACACTAATCGAGCTTGAATTAGATGCGGTTTTTGGAGTAGTCTTGATCGATAGCCAAACTTGAAATCTGATCACTGCGTTAAGCTGCTGCTCTGCAAGGAAATCGTAGATCGAACGGAAACCGTATATCGGTCAGTAATTAACACTAAGTTTAATCGCTCATCGGAGGACGACATCTTTCAAACAAGGTGTGATAGATCATAATGATTTTCTTCGAAATGACTACTGAACAGCTTGAGTTAAATCAAGATGAATCGCCCTCAATTCGCACTGCAATTTTGGATCTTGTGTATCCGACGGATTAATTTACCACGATAAATCCCAGAAACACGTCAATGGTGCCTAAATAGTGACCAAGTCAGTACTGATGCACTTTCCGAATTAGTTTCTACGCATGAAAACATGTCAGTGACTGGATATTTGCTGTGTTTAAAATGTCTCAAGGTGCCCACAAATAAAGATAGCCGGGGTAATGCTAAATTCTGTATTGCTGAGTATTACCAGTGTACTACAGAACGGAAACCGTAAGGCCGTCTACTGATTTTTAAGTTCCTTTCCCAAAACGAGTGTCACGAGATCAACGCAATATTCGTATTGAAACGGCTTTGATTGTTTCGCTTTCTACAATAGTAGTACATCTCCACAGTATTGCGAATTTGTGAGTAACAAAAACTTAAGAGCCGTTTGGTTTTTTAAATCGAAAGTGGTTTTCCTGACTTCTTATTTTGGATGTCAGCTGGCATTACTGCAGCCAAATTATTCGTCAAAATGACCTGAGCGGACGCAAAGTCGATCGTCTGCTATTTCATAGAATAACGAAACAGAAACTGAACTTGTGTTTGTAACTTAGTGGAAATATTTAGCTTATAGTAGGTAAGTATTTTAGGAGTCTCTTGATACAAATTGCAAATGAATGTTGGATTCCCACTTCTTAAAACTATAACTTTTCGAAAAAGGCTTCCTAAATATAAGCATCCAAATCATAGTGGGAGATTCTCAACTAGGGGGAAATATATTGCATGTTAATCGAATATGAAATACGGCAGATATCAAACAAAGTGCAGCGATGAGTTGTTTAACATACATCATTTTGGTCGCGAATTGATTTTACTTACAGCATCAATGAGAACCAGTAAGCACTGAAAAGATTTCGTTCCCAGCATGGGCTGTACGTATTCTCTGCCCGCGTCCATACGTTAGATCCGATATACGAGGTCCAATCTCCTGTGATAGGTAGTGTATGAGTACTGCTGAGCAGTCACATACTGGAGTGATACAACCACGCAGTGCACTCTGGTTCTCCGGTGGTGGTCTGGCTAAGGTCGCTTCGTACTCCGATTCTGTAGTTACCTTCTGAACTAAGAATATTGATCTGTAGTAGTCTTATTTTGCATATCCTTGCCTTTTTTAGTTAGTCAAGAAAATTAGGTCAAATTGTTTTCGAATTGAATATATACACAATCCCAGCTTGTTTCGAATGGTTTACAGTTAGGTAACTTGGATATTCTATCTGTCTAGGCTTACTGATCGCTGGAAGTATGCGCCTCCATGATCTGCAATCGACATTTGTTCTTCACGGCACCAATCGATAAAAGCATTGCGAAGAAGTATATTACACCCTTTTAAAGTCATATCAAAACCTTGAAGCTTATTTAGAAATATATAACTAATCTGAGTCACCTAAGTTGGATATAAGATAGCGAACCCATTAGACAAATCAGGGTGCCGTTTTAATATTATTATAATTGTCTGGTGTTCCAACTAAATGGATTCGAATGGCCCTATTCTCTGAAGAAAATTTAAGAGAGATATCGAGATTGACTAAATCTGTATTGGACAGAAATCTTTTAAGAGTAACTTTTATTACTGACTTTTAAAAAGTTGTGGAACTGGGTGTGTTAGCAGAAGGTTCACATAAAAGAAATAGAAATTAATTAAGTTATTGGTTGTGCAAGATTTATTTACAAATAAAAAACACACGGTAGTACGCGGGTGAGGAAAGTAATTATTTAAGCACATCAAACTCATCTTCTTCAAATGCTTTGCGTGCACGTCGGAGCTCTTCACTGAGCAAGAGCAGCTCTTTCACTCGAGAAAATTTCTTAGGATCACGTCGAACGAGATAAGTAACATCTTCAACAGAGATTTTTCCTGGTTTACCAATTTTTAATGCCTTTTTAGCCTAAATTTATTAGAAAGAGTGTTT